GGAGACAGGAAGTGAGGTTTCCAAGGGAAGAACTAAAATCTGGAAACCGAGGCCAGAGGTGAAGGGCTGGGCACCGTGTCAGTCATGTAGATAAGGATAGGCTGTGTGATGACTTTTTGTCCCCAACTGAAGTAAAAGCTTATAAAGTCATTTTAAAAACTTGAAACTGTTTTTTTTTGTTTGCTGTATAAAATGACATGTATTTGCGGAGGACATGGTGTGACATTTTGCTGTGTGTAGATATTGTTTGGTTCTTAAACTGGATTAGGTACATTTATGACCTCATGTTTTTTCATTTCTTTATAGTATAAATATTGAAAATCCTTATTTTTGTGTGCCCCCCCATTTGGAATATACAGTATAGCCAGGGCAAGAGAGCCTCTGAGTCCAATGGTCTTTCTGTGTCGCTCAGACTGGGTCTCAGAGCTGAGCCCAGGCCCTCTGAGTCCGATGGTCTTTCTATGTCACTCAGACTGGCTGCTGCTCCAGACCCCTCAACTGGTGTTTAAGGAAGGGGAAACCATCATCTTGAGGTGCCATAGCTGGAGGAGCAAACCCCTGAACAAGATCACATTATACCAGAATGGAGAGCCTATAAAATATCGTCAGTCCAACGGCACCTTCCCCATCTCCAAAGCAAATCACAGCCACAGCGGTGATTACCACTGCACAGGATACCTAGGAAGGGGACAACACAAGTCAAGGTCTGTGACCATCACTGTCCAAGGTACGGGGCCTCTGTCAGGATGTTGGGAAGGGAAAGGAGGAGACAGACAAAGGCTAAAGTCCCACATGGAGCTTTAGGAATGTCACAGCAGCAAAACTGGGCTGGGAGGCAAAGAGGAGAGCAGTGAAGGCCCTGCCAGGTGAGGGCAAGTGGGCCCAGCCCAGAGCTCCTCTCTTGCGGGTGGCGGGTGGCAGGACTGCGGGGCAGCAGAGAAACAGAGCCCTGTCATGGGTGCACGGGTTCTCTGCGTCCCTAGACATCCCTAAGAGCTGAAGTGTAACTTCTTGTATCTCATACAGATGTGGCTGTGGTCGCCCTTTAGGAAATTCAGATCTATCAACATATGGGGGAAGACCGAGAGATTAAGAAGTCCATTAAGGCTCCCTGACTTACTTATCTGCTCTTGTCCTTACTTTAAGTACTCGGTGTGGTGACTTTACAAACGCTCTGCACTAGGGACCTCACAGTTTATTCTGAATACTGTCTTAATGGCTCATTTCTTCTGATTCTCCTACCAGGCTCAGCAGAGGCACTTGCCATCTCTCTACTTTGGTACCACATCTCTTTCTGCCTCGTGATGTTCCTCCTGTTTGCAGTGGACACGGGCCTTTATTTCTATTTACGGAGAAGCCTTCAAACCCCGGTGGAGGACTGGAGGAAATCCCTGTCAGTCAAAAAGCGTCAGATTCCTGAGGGCAAATGACATCTCATCGCAGGGCAGAACAGCAATGGCAGCAACATCTTTTCGGCTCCCCCCCTCCCCCCAGCCTTCCTTTGAAAGCAACTTAGGACCAGGCCTGATGTGTGGTCCTGTAATTACAGCTACTTAGGAGGCTGTGACGGGAGGATCACCAGTTCAAGGCCTGCCTAGGTTACAGAGTGAGGGCAAGTCTAGACTTGATAACTTAGTAAGATCTATTTCAACAAAAGTAGGCTGGGTGGGGAGTGTATAGGTGTGTGTTTAGATGGCTCATCAGGAAAAGGCACCTGTGGCTAAGCCTGCCAACAAGAGGAGAGTTTTGTCCTTGGGACTATGACGGAAGGAGAGAACAAATTCCTGAAAGCTTTCCTCTGATCTCCACACACCCACCACGACAGGTGCACCGTCTCTTTCTACACAAAATAAATTAAAATGTACATTTCTTTCAATAAGAAAAGGAGAAAAAAGGAGGCAGAGAATGGTGGCAGAACCCTTATTCAGTTTACATGATGTCTTAGGTTTGACCTCCAGCAATAAAAGAAAAATCAATCTGGGCTAAGGATCTCCTTTCTGTGACTTCTTTGCTCAAAATAATTGCAAAGCTTTCCCTTGTACTTAGAAGGAAATCTAAAGACTTTTCAAAGTTCTCCAAGATGTTACCACATGATCTTGCTGCTCTGATCTCATTTCCTTCTGCTTTTCCTTGCTTATTCTTGGTCCTGTTTGCCTTCTTTGAAGGCAGCATCTAGGCTTCCACATGCTATCATTTTCCGTTTCAGGGGTGCCCTTGCTTACAGAAGCCCGCGTCCAGTTTCACTGTGCACTCGTCCTTGCTTTAATCGTGAATTGTTCCAAGCAAAACTCAGGCTGAGGCTTGATCCTCAGGCAGTGGTGCTAGGAGGTGGAGAGCGATGGGAGGCCTTCAGTTTCGGTGCCTCCACGGTGCAGAGACTGATGCTTTCCAGGAGGAATAGTGAAGCCGTCCTGCAGCTTAGCAGCTTTCTCGCTCACCAACGCCCTTACTTGTTCTTGTCTGCCATGCATAGAGAGACACAAAGGAGCCAAGCAAATGTGACCACCATTGAACTTGGACTAAAGTGTCTGTAACTGTGAACTAAAAAAGCTTTTTTTTAAAAAAAATATAAAGAATCTAGTCTCATATGCTTTTCTATAGCAACAGAAAGCAGGCTCAGATAATGTCCTTTCAGGTTTTATTCAAATGCCATCAGTAATGCTTTTTGATTCTTCAGTAGTATAACCTTATTCCTGTACCACACTCCTAAATCTCCTTTTCCTGCTTTGTTTTTCTCCTTTGTACTTATCATCAATCAGTGATTGATGCTTGTTTAGTATGTTGTGAGTTCCCTCCTCCCACGAATTAGTCTCTCTCCTCTCTCTCTCTTCCTTCTCCTCCTCCTCCTCCTCCTCCTCCTCCTCCTCCTCCTCCTCCTCCTCCTCCTCCTCCTTTAAAAGTAGTCCTGGCTGTCCTAAAACTCCCTATGTGACCAGGCTGGCCTACAAACTCACAGAAATTCACCTGCCTCTGCCTCCTGAGTGCTGGGATTAAAGGCATGGGCCACCATGCCTAGCCCTCCCTCCCGTGCGCTTCCAGCCCTCCCCCCCCCCTTAATATTCTCTTAAGATGCTGACCAGAATCCTAAGTGTGCTTGCCAGTGACACCTGTCTTTCTTACTGTTTTCTTGATGACCTCCAGCCTCCTTTTATAGCTGCTTGCAGACCTCCATTGCTGATCTCAAAAGGCACAACTTGTCCATCTCCCTCCTCCTGGCAGCTTCTGGGGTTTGCAGGGGGCCCACTCTGTGGTTTTCCCTCAAATTCTAATGAAACAGTCCTTGAGTTTCTTTATGAGTTTGCTTTTAGGTTCTTTTATCTAAGAGACTGAGAACTTGCAAAAGGGAACTCTGATTCTCTAGAAGAGGCTAGGTTTTCCGGCTTTCCGAGCCCCCACCCCCCTCGCGCTGTGAGGAGGCTCTTTCTCTCTGTGTGTCTTCTGAAGCATGTGTGTGTCCTCACCTCCAATAAACACGTTTCTTCAGTTGCTGCTCCTGTCTGTGGTGCTTGTGGTTTCTTCACCACCACCTGTTGAGCTGAGATTTTTCTTGCTTTTTAGTTCTTTAACTGTCAGAGAAAACGAACTCGATCAAGACCCCTAGACTGTATCACTTTAGGAGAACCGGGTTTGTATTCCCTGGTGAAGTCATGTGTGTGTGTGTGTGTGTGTGTGTGTGTGTGTGTGTGTGTGTGAGAGAGAGAGAGAGAGAGAGAGAGAGAGAGAGAGAGAGAGAGAGAGAGAGATCCGGCTTCTTCTTCAAGGCATTTTTGAATCTGAATTTCAATATAAGCCTAACATCAGACAGTCGAAATGGAATGTTCTGAATTAAGATAGATGGGGCACAATAAAAAGACTCAATCTTCACAACCTCAGACAGTGGGAAGTAAAGCGGTTTCACTGCTTGGTGAACTCACATCAGCCTTAGGGCAGTGGTTCTCAACCTGTGGCTGTGACCCTCTTGGGGAGTGTCGAAGGACCCTCACAGGGGTCCCATATCCGATATTCTATATATCAGGTATTTACACTATAATTCATAATAGTAGCGAAATTACAGTTCTGAAGTAGTAGCAGAAATAATTTTAAGGTTGCGGGTCCCCACAACATGAAGAACTGTACTGAAGGGTCGCAGCGTTAGGAAGGTGGAGAACCATTGCTTTAGAACGTATGAAGGACTGGCGCTACAGCATTTTATTCTACGTCTGAATTCTGGGGTCATTCCCGTCTGAGGGAAAAAACAAAAACAGGCTCACATTTAAAAACACGAAGTCTTTCCAAAACACCCTGAGGAGATGCTTTTTTGGGAGAGGAACCTTACAGGATTGGTCTCAAAACCAGGAGTAGAATGCAGGCTTTCCTTGGTGCAGCGTTTTCATGGGTTGCTCAGTTAGGTTCCAGAATCCCATGACCACAACGTTAATTTGTGTTCCTCAGTGGTAAACCAGTGAAAGAAAAAGAGTCAAATCGAAAGAACCCCACGTTCCGGAGGGAGAGTGGAAAAAAAAAAAGAAAGAAAAAGAAACAAGGCCTTGAAAAGGAAAATTGAAAAACAAGGCGTGCATTGGCCGGGAATCGAACCCGGGCCTCCCGCGTGGCAGGCGAGAATTCTACCACTGAACCACCAATGCAGGACACATCAAATGCCTTACTGTACTCCTATTTCAGCTTATCTCTATTCTTGGTTGCACTTCCTATGTAATCATTCTCCTTGAACAACCCTCGTGTTTCCAGAATCCTTTCTTTTAAGACAAACCCCACACCACTATTTACATTCCTAACTTAGAAGCTATGGTTCTGATTCCGTGGGAGCATGCGCCGGGCTTTCTGAGGCATCATTTTCTGGGGCTGGCATCGTGCTCTCGCATGCTCAGGACTGCCCTCCAAACCGAAACCTGGAGTACAGCGCTGCTACCTGGACTTGTGGCTGTCACCTATAGAATTAGCCCGGAACAACTGAAACTTTCTGTGTGTATTTTTGCAGCAGCTCTGAGTCAAAACCGGCGATGGATGGGGGCCAGGCACTCTGCACTCCGCCTCTCCGGATCCCTGGATCCGATTCTTCTGCGGCAGTCAGCGCGGCCGGTTGTGTCTGGGTCCGCGGGCGCGGGTGCACATAGAAGGTGTGGGAAGGTTCTCGGCTGCGAGGGCAGGAGGAGTCGGGGCTCCCACACCGGATAAAAGCCCAACTAGGCCGTCCCGGCTTGGCTGGCTTGAGAGACAGCGAAAGAACAGCAGAGCGGAGCAGCACCAGCTTCCGCCACCTCGAGCATCCGAGTCCTCTTCCAATCTGAGAGCGAGAAGCCACGCCTATCCCTAGGGAAGTGGCACCTTGAAGATCAACTTCTTGTTCGAAGATGTAGGCTTCTGCACCTTCATTACTCGTGCCCACTTTGAGGAACTGTGTTCAGACCTTTTCTGTACTCCCCTGGAGCCCGTGGAAGATGACCCCGAGCGATGCCAAGCTGACCAAGGCCCAAACCCATGAGGTCACCCCGGTGGGTGGTTCTACCCGCATCTCTTAAGATGGAGGAACGTCTATAAGACTTCTTCAACGTCCAGGAGCTGAACAAGAACACCGGCCTGATGAGGCCGTGGCCCCTGGGGCTGCTGTGTTGGTGGTTGTGTTGATGGAAGACAAATGTGAGAAGGTGCAGGATCTCCTCCTGCTGGATGCTGTTCCCTTGTTTGACTCTGGGGTTGGAGACGGTGAGATGATGACCACATTAATCCCACGGAGTGACACCATCCCTGCCAAACAGACCCAAGCCTTACTCTGCCCACCAGCCTGGGGTCCTGATCCAGGTGAATGAGGGTGAGAGGGCTGTGACAAAGAGCAGCAACCTGTTCCGTAGCATTCCTCCTGCTCCACGTGGAGTTCCCCAGATCGAAGTGAATGTTGACATAGATGCCAATGGTATCCTAAGTACTTCTGCCACCGACAGGAGTACAGGCAAGGCTAACAAGATCACCATCACCCACGACAAGGGCCAGCTCAGCAAGGAGGAAGTACAGAGGATGGTTCATGAGTCTGAACAACACAAGGCTGAGAGTGAGGTTCAGAGGGACAGAAAGGCTGCGGAAAACTTTCTGGAAGTTCGTGTCTTCCACGTAAAGAGTTGCTTGCAGGGAGATAGCCGTAAGGAAGAGAGTCCAGAAAGGGCAAGACAAGTGTCAGGAAATCCTGGCCTGGGTAGAGCACAACCAGGTGGCAGGCAAAGAGAGGACACTAGCGCAGAGCTGCTGCCCCATCTTCCGTAGGCTTTATGCGCTGTCTGGTGTTCCTAGGGGTGACAGTACTGGGCCTCAAGCTTGCCAGGAGAGACCTAGTACTGACCCCATCATTGAGGAAGTTGATCGATTGACCTCCCATGATAAGTCATCTGTGTCTGTAAGGGCTGGACTTACGGGTCTTCTAGACTTTTCTATAATCCCACTTTGTAACTTCGTAGGTGAGTCGGGGTATCTTGCCCTGGCAACTGGGAGCTTTTTTCTTTTCCTCATTATGTTTTATAATTGAGGTCTGTGTTATTTGATTTTTTTTTTAAAGTCCACTTCTTGCCAGGCATGATGGTGCATGCCTTTAATCCCAGCACTTGGGAGACTGAAGTAGGAGGATCTCTGAGTCTGAGGCCATTCCGTGTAGTGATGAGGCGAGCAGGCCTGCTTTTTGTCCCAACCGGCTCCCCGTACGGCTAGCTTAGCCCCGGAAATAACAACACACAAACTGTATTCATTTAAACACTGCCTGGCCCATTATATCTAGCCTCTTCTTGGCTAACTCATATCTTGCTTTAACCCATATCTAGTAATCTGTGTATCACCACAGGGTCGTGGCTTACTGGGAAGATTTTAACCCACATCCATCTCGGGCCAGAGCTTCATGGCGATTGCCTGACTCTGCTTTCTTCCTCCCAGCATTCCGTTCTGTCTTCCCCACCTACCTTTGTTCTAACCTATCAGGCCAAGCAGTTTTCTTTATTAATTAACCAATGAAACAACAGATAGATAGAAGACCCTCCTACATCATTTCCCCCTTTTCTGTTTAACCAAAAAGGAAGGCTTTAACTTTAACATAGCAAAATTACATATAACAAAACAGTTATCAAGCAAGAATTACAGTTAACTACGGAAAATTAAAACTATGACTATCCATTCTTCAACTCCATCAAAGACTCCAGAAAGATATAATATTATCTAATTAAACAAGAAGTAAGCTACTTCCAAAACTCTAGAAATGACAGAGACATCTCGCTGCCTGGACAGTTACCCAAAGTTTTTTTTTGTACCGTTGGGGTATCCATCTTCAGCCTACAGGCCCATAGTATCCAGCAGACATTTCCATGAAGCAGGAAAATTCACTTTTTGCTGTGTCCTGCAGAATGTCTTGCAGACTCTTTCATGAATCAGGAACCCTGAAAGACCACCTCACCTTTAGGCAAGTTCAGCAGTCCTCTCTCTGCAGGTTCTTCATGTCCAGTTTATGCAACAGTCCAGGCAAGGGCAGTTTCTTGCCTAAATGGCTATCAAACTCCATAAGGAGCCTCTTCAATGCCCATCTTTCTCTTGAAGTAGCTGGTGCTGCCAGGAGCAGACGTGTCTCATTGTCATGAAAAGCCCTAAGTTATTAAAACATTTAAATGCCATATTCTGCAGTCTTTGAAAGATATGAAGAATGCCTATCTAACTGAAATATATCTCTATATATCTAGAAAATCTAACTAACATGACTACAAGCTTGACTATTATTGATGATTATCCATTAACAACCTATATTTCCTATTTATACATTACATTTTTAAATTAACTACATAATCACAATACCTTAATCAAGAGCAGAAATACATATAACAAAATTGACCTTAAATTTATATCAATAGAGCAAAATTTATACCAATGTAAATTATTCATATCTATATCATATCCCCTTTTAAATGTAAAAGAACATTTATAAACAATATTTGGGAACATGGGCGCGTGTGTGTGTGCATGTTCGTTCCACAAAACTGAAAGGGGAACCTGAGAGCGGAAGAAAAGATCTTAAGCAAAATAGTAATGAAATAATGTACTAAAGCAGAAGGGGAAGTAACTATGAGAAGAAAAGGAATGAGCTGGAGGAACGGGGGCGTAAGGAAGGAGAGTTGGGGAGCGATGAGAGAGAAGAAAGCAGAATGGCCTGGATGTGTGAAGACGCCATAACACAGCCCATTATTTTCTATACAAATATATATATTAAAGGCTGGAGGTCTGGTGCAGCTAAGAGTGTACTTTGCAGAAGACCTGAGTTTGGGTCTCACATCCTACATCAGGTGGCTCACAACTGTTTGTAACTCCAGCTCCAGGGGAATCCCATACCTCTGACCTCCAAGGGCACCAACGCACACACCTCATTGTATATAAGATTTCTATGTGGAGGAGACAGGGTAAGTGAAAAAGTGTGAGGTGGACACAGTGAAGGGGCACAGTGGTGTGATGATCATGCTGGAAAAGGCCTATGGTTCTTATAGGTGACCCTAAGGTAAAACTAAAGCTTGAAAGTTTAGTTGGTCAGCATTGATCGCACTAATAAATAGTTTATATTATTGTTTGGTTTATTCATTTGTTTTGGTGTGTTTTGAGGTAGGGTCTCACTATGTTGCCCTGACTGGCCTAGAACTCACTATGTAAACCAGGCTGACCTCCGACTCATTTGATCCTCCTGCCTTTGTCTCCAGAGTGCTTTGATTAAAGGCGTGGGCCACCAGGTTGGGCCCACGCACATGACTGTTTTTTAAGTAGGCCATTTCATTGTTTTGTTGGAGATAAGACCACCCAAATTTTTAGGTATGCTAGAGTTGGTCTGGGGAAGTAATTCAACTTAGGTTGGTTCTATCTCTGGAGGAGAAATAGAATGGTCTCTTCTGATTTCTGGTGAGGGTAACAGCAGAGTAGGAGAATAATAATATCAGCATACCAGACTGCTTAGCTGTTCACCTCCGCCATAAACTGCTGGGCAAATCAAACCCTCCAGACTCCAATATTCCCTTCTACATACTGGGAATGTTGACAATAGCATTCCTCCGCATTGTTGCGAGGGCTCAATAGATGTAAGAGGCGAAGAGGAATGTTAGACACTTAGCACACTGTTGACAAACATTAGTTGTTACTAGCTGTTATTCTCTGAGTACCAACTAGGTAACGGACATTTGGTATATCCAACTAATCCAATAGCAATATCCTGAGGCTTTATTATTATTACACACATAGCACAAGTGTGGATGTCAGAGGACAACTTTGCGAAGTTGGTTTGTGAAGTTAGGATAGAACTCAGGTCATTAGGATTGTGTGCTGAGTCATCTTACCAGCCTCTTATTTAAAGATGAATATTCTAAAGTACAAGGAGGTCAAGCAATTTGTTCAAGGTCATATAGTTATTATGGGAACAGAGAGAGGGACTGCTCGATGTAAAGACCCATTCTCAAGCGGCTGAAACTGGGAAAATATCCTCCAGCCCAGTCAGGCAAATGACAAGGAGAAGCTTGCATGGCTTCAGCCCCATTCAGTCCATTCCACCTCTATCAGTCCCCTGAGCTGTGCCTCAACTTCAGAAAGGAAAGTGAGCTTGCCCAGAGCTTGCTACATTGTATTGCGTCACATAAGCCCTTTCTGGTAGAAGAGGTTACACGACCCAGCCACTTGTCCCTGGATGTCATTTTTAATTGTCTTGTTTGCCTGCAACCAATCCAAAACCTTTTCAATCTGGCTTTACATTAAAAGCAACTGGGGGGGGGGAAGGCATTGAAGATAGGCCAAGAAGGACAGAGTTGCCTAGAGCACCCCCTTCCTTTCTTTTTAACTTAAAACATTAACCATTTCAACCTATTCTTTCAAAGAGGGACAATGATATAGGATTTGAGGGTTTTTTTTTTAGCATTGCAACAGCAAGCCTTTCTCTTTTAGTTCTGAAAAAAAGTGTTTGTTCTAAAAAAAAAAAATAACCTCTGATTCTCCCAAAATGAGTGGTATTAATTGTCTACAGCAAGATTTAAGCAAATTAAATTCTACTCCCCCTCCCCCCAGACAGGGTTTCTCTGTAGTTTTGGAGCCTGTCCTGGAACTCACTCTGTAGACCAGGCTGGCCTCGAACTCATAGGGCTCCACCAATCTCTGCCTACCGAGGGCTGAGATTAAAGGCATGTGCCACTGTCACTCAGCTTGCACTTATTTTTAAGTGGCTGTTGTTGACCATTTTGGTTTAGTTTCTTTGTAAAGTGTTTCTTATACAATTGACCGTTATATATCCTTTGGTTGTATGATACAGTCTTCGGGCCTTTGCACGGCCTTAGGAACTGACCTGCCAGGAGGCAACGAGGGAATGAAGAAAAGACAAATACGCACAAATATACGGACACCTAGAAAAGCTAGAGCCGAGTGGATTAGGCTCTTGGATGGAGAAACCACAGCACCCAGGCAGCTCAGTGTGCTTATTACGTTCAGCTGAAGAGTGAGCACGGCCATTGCATACAGCTGGATAAGGAGGCCGACTTAACTCATCTCACTAGGAGCAGTCTCAGGCCTTAAACAACCAGGGAGAGAGCTATGGTGGACATGTTCTGCACACACTATCAGCATCCACACTCAGGAAGGCTTTGCCATCCCTTTGAGCGTCCGTCCGTCTCCCATGGCCCACGCCGCCGTATCCACGTCAACAGCACGTATTTTCTCAGGACTTCACTCCCTCAGGGCTTCCTCCACTCCCGCAGTCTTACTTTGATCATCGCCACCACTGCCGTGTTTACTCCATTCCTCCAAACAATCAGAACAAATTAAATCAGCCTACACGCCCATTTTCAAGAAATCAAATACTGCTACGGGCAGTTTCTTGCCCTACTCCCAATTCCTCCTCAGAGGCAATTACTTTCAAGGTTTTTTTTTTTTTTTTCTTATTTGTTTGTTCTTGTTTTGCAGTAATTTTAGTTTAACAGAGGAATTGCAAAGACACTATGGAAAATTACTGCATGTCTGCCAGGCAGCTTCTCCTATTGTTAAGACGTTACATCACCATGACACACTTATCAAACTTCAGAAAATGACATTGGAAAACTACTGCTAGCCGAGCGGTTGACTCTATTCAGGTTTCACTTTTCCTACCAACGCCTCCTTTTTCTGTTTCAGAACTCAGTGTCCACTATCACATTACACAGTCTTACATGCTTCCTAACTACACTCTATCTACCCTGTGATAGTTTTAGTCTTCTTTTTTATGGTATTGACATTTTTGAGGACAGTTCAGGTATTTTATAAACGATTTTGATATGTGTGATTTTTTTTTAAAAAAAAAAAGTGTCATTTTTATTATGTGCATGAGTGAACGTCAGCCTGAGGAGGCCCGAAAAGGGCACTGTTGGATTCCTAGAGCTGGAGGTACAGTCGGTGGTGATTTGTCCAGTATGGGTACTGGCAAACAAACTCAGGTCCTCTGGAACATCAACAAGTGCTCTTAACTGCTGAGCCGTGTCTCCAGCTCTGGTTGTCTAATTTAAAGATATATTTTTATTAAATTTGTTTTTTTATAGGACATGTTAGTCAGCACTCAAAAGTCAGAGGGGAGGAGGATGCCTCTGGTTTTGAAGCCAGCCTGGTCTAGCTACCAAGTTCTAGGCCAGCCAGAGCTAGAAAGTGAGATTCTATTTACAGATAGATGATAGATAGATAGATAGATAGATAGATAGATAGATAGATAGATAGATAGATAGACAATTTCACATACCTACAGAGTACATTTTGATTATTGGCACCCACATGGTCTCTTATTTTTTAAACATCTTTTATTTATCTTTTGACAATTTCATACATACATATAATGTATCTTTGTCCTATTGGTTCTGAAGATTCATGCTTCCTCTCCTCCCATCAACAGCCCCCTGCACACACCCCTTCTAATCTTCGTGTCTTCTCCTTTTTGTTTTTCCTCACTGAGTCTGGTTAGTACAGTCTGCTGGACGTTGACTGTTCTTGTTGGCTTGCTCTTGTTCAGGTACCCACAGTTGCTGTGGGTTCCTGAGAGGAATAGACACGTCATGTCCATAAGACGAAATTTTACAGCCTCCCTCCTATCCTCCAGCTCTTAGATTCTTTCTGTCCCCTTTCTCGGTGTTCCCTGAATCTTGGGAGGTCCATATAGATGTTCCATTTCGGGCTGAACACTCACCAGTCACCAGTCAAATTTTCAGTTTTTTTTTTTTTTTTTTTTTTTTTTTTTTTTTTTTTTTTTTTTTTTTTTTTTTTTTTTTTTTTTTTTTTTTTTTTTACCAGTTTTGAGTCTCTGCATTAGCTGTTGCCCATTGCGGACAGAAGCGTCTCTGGCAAAGTTGAGAGCGGTTCGAATCTGTGTATATAAACAAAAGTATTTAGAAGGCAGTTTGATACATCTGTAGTGATATTTCCTTTGTATTTTAATAAATAACGCCTGAAGACCAGAACACAGAACAGCGACACTAATCAGCCATACAGGCCAGGTAGTGGTGGCACACACCTTTAATCCCAGCAGCCACACTAGTTAGCCATAGAGGCAGGGTGGTGGTGGTGCACGCCTTTAATCCCAGCACTAGAGAGGGGATTATAGAAGGTGGGATGAGACAGGAACTCTCTCTCTTTCAGTCTGGAGGTGTCATAGAGGTAAGAGCTCTCTAGTGGCTTGGCTGCTGTGCTTTTCTGATCTTCATGGTGAACCCCAATATCTGTCTCTGGGTTTTACACATCTTGGGCTTTAACCAGGTTTACAGTACCAGGAATGCATTTCCTTTGGAGCAGGCCTCAAATCCAATCTAAAAGTGATTGGTTACCCCCATAACCTTCTTGCCATTATCACACCAGTGGGCACCTCTCTTTTTATCTGTTTATCTATCTATCTATCTATCTATCTATCTATCTATCTATCTATCTATCTATCTATCTATCCATCTATCTATCTATTTATTTTTTAATTAAATCACTGCTTGGGTCATTAGTTCTAACTTCTTTTTTTCTTTTTTAATTGATTTTTATTGAACTCTACATTTTTCTCTGCTCCCCTCCCTTCCTCTCCCCTCTCCCCTTTAATCCTCCTCCAAGGTCCCCATGCTCCCAATTTACTTAGGAGATCTTGTCTTTTCTACTTTCTACTTTCCCATATAGATTAGATCTATGTAAGTCTCTCTTAGTGTCCTCATTGTTGTCTAAAGTCTCTGGGATTGTGGTTTGTAGGCTGGCTTTCTTTGCTGTGTGTTTAAAAACCACCTATGAGTGAATACATGTGATAATTGTCTTTCTGTGTCTGGGTTACCTCACTCTAAATAATGTTTTCTAGCTCCATCCATTTTCCTGCAAAATTCAAGCTGTCGGTTTTTTTTTCTTTCTGCTGTGTTGTACTCCATTGTGTAAATGTACCACATTTTCCTTACCCATTTTTTGGTCGAGGGGCATTTAGGTTGTGTCCAGCTTCTGCCTATGACAAACAAAGCTGCTATGAACATAGTTGAGCACATGTCCTTGTGGCACGATTGTTTTTAAACAGAACTTATTTTAACTGTGTGTGCATGTATGTCTGTGTGTCCTGTGGCCCGAATAACACCTCCTAGCAACATGAAAGTTAGCCATCAGGGAGGAAATTGCTGATCAGTTCAAGGTTGCTCTTTCTGTGCCTGGAAGCTATAACATGCTGTGTCTTCAGCAATGGGGTCCTACTTATATAGCATGGTGGGCAGCCAAGTGGGCTGGCAACGGCCTCTGGGCCTCTCTAAAAACTCAGAGAGAGGGAGTCTACCCTTGACACTGTGGTTTTCCTTTAACAACTTGTGCCTTCTGGGGGAAGTGGATTTTATCCCCTGACATGATTGATACATTATAGCATTGGGTACATTGTACATCTGTCAATTGACTAACCACAGGTGATGCTACTTTTAATGCTTGGTTCCTGCTCCTTTAAGAATTTTCCGACATGTCTAATATTATTTTCTTACCGGTCTCTCCTGAAAATGCACTGCTTTAATTTTTTTTAAACATAGTGACTTTATATCCTTTAAATATTGTAATACAGTTTTGAGAGACTGTAAATGCTTAAATGATACAGGGTACAAAGTAGCCTTCTGATAAGCAAGGGAAAGGGCCCTTCTAGGTCAGCATCATCCTGGGAAAAGGATAGGCCAGATCTTCTGAAACTTTAATATGCATTCCAATTACCTGGGTATCTTGTCAGGGGCAGTCAGCAGGCCTGAGACAGAATCTGAATTCAGAATTTCTAATGAATAGACTATCAATTCTTTTTTTTTAAATTTATTTATTTATTAAAGATTTCTGTCTCTTCCCTGCCACTGCCTTCCATTTCCCTCCCCCTCCCCCCGCCAAGTNCAAGGACCACCCACCTCCATCCAGGTCTAGTAAGGTGAGCATCCAAACTGCCTAGGCTCCCACAAAGCCAGTACGTGCAGTAGGATCAAAAACCCAGTGCCATTGTTCTTGAGTTCTCAGTAGTCCTCATTGTCCTCTAAGTTCAGCGAGTCCGGTTTTATCCCAGGCTTTTTCAGACCCAGGCCAGCTGGCCTTGTTGAGTTCCCGATAGAACATCCCCATTGTCTCAGTGTGTGGGTGCACCCCTCGCGGTCCTGAGTTCCTTGCTCGTGCTCGCTCTCCTTCTGCTCCTGATTTGGACCTTGAGATTTCTGTCCGGTGCTCCAATGTGGGTCCATTTTATTTGGAAGGGAATTAAAACTCAGAAGATTGAAAACATTTTTAAGAGTCATAGTCTGGTCAGTGACAGAGAATATGGCTATGTCTGGCAAACTTTAATTAAACTCTGAAGCTGTACCCATCCTCACAGTTACAGTCAACTTCTTAACAACTTTCTCCTTTTGTCAAGAAGATCCCCCGCCCCATTAAGCTTCTCTGAAAACAGAAAGTGCTTTCTTTGTGTTCTTCTAAAAAAAGGATGTCATGAAGACATGAATTTTCTCGGTTCTGCTGTACGAAATAGCAAGCACACCCACTTAAATAACTAATCTACTTAATTAGAATTGGTAGTAGGGTTGGGCAACGATAATTTCATGCTTACAAAAGTTTGATGACATCAGCATTGGAACAGTTGGGATAATTGTAACAAATTAAGGGATAGGGGGTCGAGGAATTGTTTAGGATTCTTTTTTTCCAAAACATAAATGCCGGTGTTCAGTCATGATAGGAATAAAAATCAAATGTTGTCAGAAGTGGGATTCGAACCCACGCCTCCAGGGGAGACTGCGACCTGAACGCAGCGCCTTAGACCGCTCGGCCATCCTGACATATAGTGAGACATTTTCCATACTTTCTTATAAGCTGATAAACACTGGTGATGCACCCTTTACCTGTGTTTCGTTTATCTATGATTTCAAATAAAAAAAAAAAAAAAAAAAAAGCGAGCTTCCCCGAAACGCTTTTACAAAGCAGAAGAAGTGAAAGTGGGTCTCAGGTCTTTCCTATCTCCTACTTCCTCATCACTTTTAACTTCCCACCTCCATCTCTTTTGGGGACCTTTCGATTGCCTCTCGCCCGGGCCGAGTCAGCCCGGGGAGGATCTCCTACTGGTCAAATCACCTAATCGAGCCCGTGCCGGCTGGACTCTGGCTACTACTGCCTTGTGGAGCTAAGTGGGTGCGGAGCCCCGACCTGGGAGTGTCGGACTGTGAACAGCTGAAAAGAAGAGACAGTGGCTTCTGTCAGAATTTTCTAACAAAACCGACTTTAAAGGTTACAGAAACCGACAGAAATCGACTCAAGCCGCAGTCGGCAAATTTTCACTTGCATTAGAGAGACTAGAGGAGAGAGTAGGTCACGTTGCGTTGGTGGTATAGTGGTGAGCATAGCTGCCTTCCAAGCAGTTGACCCGGGTTCGATTCCCGGCCAACGCATACTTAGCTTTTTCTGTCCTTCAGTTTATATACGTAGGACACGGTTCACACAATGTTCTATTTTATATCTTTGAATGAAACCAGCCCCGCCAAGTTGGGGCCGGACTGGGTTCCTGAAGCTAACTTTATCTTTTCTGTTTTGAAAATTTTCTGGAGTCTGTGATCTCTTGTCAGAATTTCAGATTCGCATAGGCCTCCGTATCCGAGAGGCTCATACAGCAGGAGTGAGTTCTTGAGCGTTTTAAAACTATCCGGTGCGTGTAAGGATCGCATTTTTAAATTTGATTTTAATTGAACTAAGCGAAATGAGTAATTAATGGAGCCATTAACTAAATGTCTATTCATTTCGGCTACTGAAGAACTTTTAAGCAGGGAACAGGCATATTTGTGGTTTTGATTTGTATATTTTTATGAAATTTACATAGATACTAAGAAAAAATCTAATAATTTTTTATTGATTACATGTCGAAATCATATTTCGAATGTATGAGGCTGAATAGAATTTATTAAACTTATCATGTCTTTGTTACTGGTTAAGTTTGTTCTTTGATAATTTCACATGTGTATACAACGACTTGTTTACGTTCACCTCGCGCCCTCTTTTTTTTCCCTCTCACTCTTGATTCCTCCCTTCAATCGCTTTTTCACTTTTCTGGGTTTTTTTTGGGGGGGGACCCACTGATTTTAATGAGGAACCTGTTTCTACTGTTTAATCTTACTTTTAGAAAATTGGCAGATACAAGAAATGTTCACATTACCTCATCTAGACAATAAAAACAAAATTTTACTTTTAAGGGTACGCGGATTCCTGAAAAGTACTTTTCTTGAGCAGCTACTTTAAGGCGCTTTGTATAGTCGTCCTCGTTAGTATAGTGGTGAGTATCCCCGCCTGTCACGCGGGAGACCGGGGTTGGGGGGGGGGCGGGGGGGGTCGGAGGTGGGCGGCTGTCTCGGTGGCAGCGGCGTCGTCGTCGTCCTCGTTAGTATAGTGGTGAGTATCCCCGCCTGTCACGCGGGAGACCGGGGTTCGATTCCCCGACGGGGAGACTAACAATGCCATTTTATTTTTTTATCAATTTTTGGTCAGCCTTCCTATTAAAAAAGGATAATCACTTTTAAAAACTCAGGGCTTAGATTTCAAGACCTTGTCTCTCTCTAACCAAATTAGTAGGAAAGGGGAAGCGACCCTTCAGTAAGTGCAGTTACTTAACCCTGCCTGTAGCTAGGGTTCAGATGTTTTCACACTTCCTAAAACGCTGTACTTCACGATGGTTCCACCAATGGCGCTACACCATAGCGAGGTGGCAGCGGGGGATAGACCAAGTTTTCAAGTCCGAAGTCCTTACTACTGCCACACTGCAGGATGTAAACATGCAAAACACCAGTCCACCCCTGCAGGCGACACACAAGAACAGAAACGTCCTATCTGAACTTTTTTTTTTTTTCTGTTTAAAACTACTAAGGAAAAGTTGCTTCTGGGGAAATAATTTGATTGCTTTGGCAAGACTGTTTTCTGCATTCGTACATTGGATCCACGATCGCTGAGATCCCTTTCAGTATTAAAGTCCTGCAAAACACACTCCCTCACCAGGAAGAATGTGATTTGTACAGTCAAACAGCTTTCCAAACTCAGCTCTCTGACCTCAAACTGTTCACTCTAGTAAAGCCCCAATTTCAGCATTTGTTTTCATTGCTTTCTTGTGTTAAACGACATAACTACACCATAATTTCGTTAACAAATTTCTTATTTCTGAGCATTTATGTTATTTTCAGTGGATTTCCCCCTATCTCTTCTGGTAGGGCTCTTTCTCTGTCTCTCCCCCCCCCCCTTTTATTGTCCCTCCCTCCCACCCACCCCCGTGCACCTGTGTTAATTATCTCTATTTTAGATGGTTGTTTTGAATGTAAATGATTACATGTGTAAAAGAACCTGGTTATGTAGCTTATGTTCATATGCTCATTTTGAAAAAAAAAATACATGCATTTGCTTTCCTGTAATACACACCCCTTGCAGAAAAATGGAGAACAAGCAGATAAAAGGCACCCAACTCTCACTGTGTAGGAACGATCTGTGCATGCTTTGCTGCCTATTTCTCTGGCTTTTCTTCTTCAGGGCTGGGAATGGAGCCCAGGGTCTCCTGCACGCTCTGTGCTGAGTTACGTACACCTCGGGCTAGCTCCCTTGGGCTTCTGGGGGTGGGGTGGGGATGGGGCAGGGTGTATTTTGAAAATAAAGTTGGGATAAAACTGTGTGTATTGCTAGCTTTTAGATAAGACTAATTTTTAGAGCTACCTTGGCCTCATGGTGGAGTTAGAGACGATCACAGAGTTCTTCTATACACATAGAGACTCTCCCACTAGCTCCAGCTGGCACCAGAGTGATCTGCTTCTTACCGTTGGTGACCTCTACCGACTCATCCTAAGCGCCCAAAGACATAGTTTCCTTAGTCCACTCAGTGTTGAACATTTCACGAGTTTGGACGGATGGATAATGATGTGTGTGTGTGTGTTTTAATCTGCTTGACTTTTTATTTACAATCGTTCCATTTCTACAGATATTAAATGTTAGCCCAAAACATGCTCTCCGTCATTTCCTTGTGTTGGGCTGTAGAGCTGCAGCACGGCTTCTTAGTGTTGAACATTTATGCTGTTTCCAGTGTTTTCCTGCTGTGTGGGATCTGAGCTGTTCACAGGCTCTGTTCACCTTGGCTGCCCTAGAATCCCCCTAGCCACGAGTCCAGTTCAGGAGGCGGGCAATCCCCCTAGCCACGTGTCCAGTTCAGGAGGCGGGCGAGGATCTGAGAGGCGGTTTTGTTTTATTTTAGTTTTCAGAACTGACTTTCCCTCACATGACTCTCCTTCCTGGGATTTACTCCTTCAACTTTTGGCCTTTGAAATATTGAGTAAAGACTTAGTATCTGTTATCTCTACCATATAAAAACCACTTATTAGAATGATACCTATACTTAGGTTGAAGCTTAATGAAACAGTGCAATGTGTAGTTAAGCCGTGGGGTGTACTGTGTTTCCTGATGTGTTGGCTTGGCGTGGCACTGGAGCAACAGCTGAGAGCTTACATCCCGATTCACAAACAAACCCCAGAGAAAGCCTTTTGAAATCTCAGAACTGACCCCACCAATGACACACGTCCTCCGACAAGGCCGCATATCCTAATTCTTCCCAACCAGTTCCACCAATTGGGATCAAGCGCTCAAATATATGAGCCTATGGGGACCATTCTCTTAGACTTCCACAAAGTGCCCAAACAATTTCAATGGGAAGGTCATGTAGCAATTTTATATATATATATATATATAAATACATATATATATATATAAATATATATAAATATATATACACACACATACATAAACACATACACATATATACTCATATACATATGTGTGTATCACAAAAGATAAATATATACATGCATAATTTCTGCATATAAGGTATCTATGTTTTTATGAAATCTTTGAAAATATTGACCTCCACTTAAACTGAATCTCGGTATTAACGAAAGATGCACAGAAACATACACAAGGAGATACTAGTGTGTGGAGGCTCCAGGGAACTCCTGAGACCTGGGCAATCCAGAAAACGGCTCATTAGACCCCAGCCTGATGAGGACCCTTAAACTGAATAAGGGGAATACGCCCTTTGATATTCGTTTGCAGGTGTGTCATTGTTAACGTCGTTAAGTTGCAAGAATTTTAAAATTTCCTGTTTCGCCTGGGGGACTCACGCTCCAGTAGACTTCAAAACCGTCGGTGTGATTTGCTATTAAGAACCCTTAGTACTTTTTGCCAGACATGCCTGGAAACGCGGTTACTGGGTTAAAAATAACGAGTTAATATATCAGTACTTACGCACGCACATTTGCACACGTAAATTATCTAGACCAGTAACGTTTCTGAGCAAAACCAAATGAATTCCCAAACTCAGAGAGCGTCCATTTTGGATTTCCTTAAGGCTCTCGGTTCGTTGATCGTCTTGTGCTCCGCTATCCTCAGCCTTGGTGGCTAAAACCCGGACCTGCTGCTTAGGAAACAGCCGCAAGTGCCCTTCCTTACCGTATTAACGGTAGGGTGCCACCAGTTTTGACTTCAATTTCAGACACAAATTTTGGCAGATGTAGCCGACCAATGTATTCTTTAGTGAACTGACTTGACAACCGCACCGAGCACCACCTGTCTCTGTGGCGCAATCGGTTAGCGCGTTCGGCTGTTAACCGAAAGGTTGGTGGTTCGAGCCCACCCAGGGACGGGCAGGAGTCTTTTGTGTACCTCATATTCTAGGAATCTGTCTTTCAAGAACCCAACGCTAGCTAGCGAGCTACCTTCCTCTGCTAACCGCAAGGAGCTCTGTGTCTGATATTCTTAATGTTATGTTGTGGTCAAGAAACTCCTCTACCTACCTGTTTTGCTCTTTTCGCGGTTAAGGTTGCAGTTTCACTGTAGAAATTACATCTGAAAGCTGATTACTCTGGGAGTTTGGACGTCCAATGCTAATGGTCCGAAGACTTCATCTGTCCTGAGAAAACTGAGCTTTCCTTCGTATTTCCTTGCTCCCGAATCCCTCCGTGGCTGTCACTTGTCACCCTTTACTTCCTCCTTAATCTCGGCATCCTCTGCTAGGAGCACGAGGGGTTCCCTTTTGCAGTTAATTTTCAGCTCCCACAGCCGCCCCCAGAATCTGTTAACTCCGCACCCGATCGGCGCCAACTCCTTCAACACCATCTCTTTAGCTCGGACAGCAAGGTCTCAGAGCGAGTGGCCCTCAGAATCCCCCTTCTCCCTCACTGCCTCCTTTCGACCGTAGACCCACACCTCCTAAATTCGCAGTTTGGCTTTTAAATCGTCGCCCAGGACTTCCTTCTCTCTTGCCTGGCAAACTTCCCTTTTCATGCTCTCCCCCAGAATGAACCTTTTCTGCCGGCTTCTCCACTCTCCCGATACCTGCTTCTTCTCATGGCTAGAACCAGAGCTTCCGGATCCAGGATGAAACCGAGTTAGTTGTTCACGTGATCTTTTCAGCACCCACTCTCACTGCTGGCACATTGTAGGCGAGGAAGGCCAGCACACGAGACATTTTACGACCCTGGGACCCAGCTTGGTCTTGGTTTACGTGTACACACACTCTTGCTATAATGCGATAGGCACACTCGTCCCTCCCCCTGAATGATGGCAACGCTCGGAGCAAACTCAGAACCCTCCGGGGCCCCAACCTGCACTAGG